GGTTAAAGTCACCAACGATCAACGTATGCGACCTGCTGAATGACATGCTCGGTAAAAGGCTGTTTAGTACTTTATTGTTATCAGAGGAGCTGTTAGGTGATCTGTAAATGACCCCTATGAGGAGGCTATCTTTGCCTTTTAGAGTAAGTTTGCACCACACTGATTCTCTAGCTGATTGATGCTCTGCAGATAACTTAACTTGCTGGGCTCCATAAGAGATTCAAACCCACAGAGCTACACCTCTACTGCACTGCTCTTCATTTAAGTTATAAAAACAATCAAAACCTGGCAGCTGAAATTCTACAGGTACAATTTTCCCCCCGTGATTTTTAGGGAGTGTTTCTGTGATACATATAATGTCTATACACTTGTTTGCGATCACAGTTAACAGTTCACTTTTTTTGTTCAAAACGGAATCCGAGTTCGTGTAAAAACATTTTAAAACTTTTTGTGCACTTTCACTTTGATGTATTTCACTTACACGGGACGTCGGCCGCCCGCACGAGAGAGACAGAGAAGGGAAATGTAAGGAATCCTACCTACATAATAACTTGATGTAAGGTCTCCTACCTACATAAAAACTTGATGTAAGGAATCCTACCTACATAATAACTTAACCCCACAATTGAGACCTGCAGACACCGCGAGCTCAGCAGTGGGGCGCAGAGGAACAATCCCCCTAGGAACGCGAAAATAAAACTTGAAAGCAACTGAAATAACATTAGTTATTTGAGCCCTCCTTTGGGCAGCACGGCAAGCGATTACATTTAAGCGGAATTAAAATTAAAAAATATTCGCAATAATACAAAATTACAGTGAAAGATTTTCCCTAAGCGAAAATTTGCACAAAAAGTCAAGCCAGGATGGACAGAAGGTGTCAACTTCCACCGCAGCAGCTGCAACAATTGAAGTTAGGCCTGCAATTCCCATGAACCGCGCTCGAGGGCAGCCTCGTCCCTCTGACAGTTGGTGGGCAGAGCAAGAAGTTCACCCTCACTTCTCACCCGAAGTGTCAGGTAGGATTTGGGCTGGCCCGATGGTTTATTATAAGTTCTATTTAATTATATCAAAGTTCTATAGTTGGTTAATCACCGGATTATAATCTGAGGGTTACTTGAGTTGAGGGTCCAAGTTCATTGACATTATTCAGGGTTGTTCCAGGGTTCGTAGTTAGGTCCAAACTAAGGGCAGGAATATTGAGAGGCGGATAGTCTACAAGTATATTAAGAACTAGATAGGAATATAGGATGAAGTTGGTTGGTTACACAATGTAATTTAGTATAGGTGGTTACTGGTTACTAACGACGATCAGGAGAACGCCGGAGTCAGGTGACGTCCAGTGGACGCTACAAAAGGTTATGGCTACATGATGGCTACGCCTGCCTAAGGGTACGCACACAGTGAAAGCAGGTTGCCAGCGTGCTGGTTACCTGTTCTGGCTGGCGCCTGAAACCATAGAATACAGAAGCCTATTCGTACAGGTTTTCACTGTGAACACTTACATTATTATCCTATGTTCATTCTTGTGGCAGGTTGGAGCAGGTTGCTCGCGCGGGCAAACCTGCTTTCACTGTGTACGTACCCTAAGACTGACTGAAGGTCTGCTCGGAGAGCTTATATAGGCATACAATAGTGACGTCACGGAAGTGACGCAGTAACTGCTAACACAAGTAAGGGAGATGGCGGTAGACAACCTGACAGAAGCTAATACCTTGTATGCTGCAATCCTGCCCCTAAATTAAAGCCTTGTATGCTGTAATCCTACATCCTGCTCACGAATGCATACGGAGAATATGTCGATCGAGAAGGCGACGTTGGACGCAAGAATATTTACACTTAGTGCAGCCAAAAGGTTTTTGTGCTGAATGCTTGGAAAGAATATGTAAATTTAGATCGCGTTTTTTGACGCAAGCATATGAACACTCAGAACAGGTGAAAGGTTTCTCTGCTGAATGTTTAGCAAGAATATGTTGACTTAGATTTCCTTGTTTGACGCAGGCAAATGAGCATTCAGAGCAGGTAAAAGATTTCTCTCCTGAATGTTTTGAAAGAATATGTTGACTTAGTTGCTGTTGTGTGACGCAAGCATATTTACAGTCAGGACAGTGCAGAGGTTTCTCTGCTGAATGTTTATAAAGAAAATGCCTACTTAATTGCTGTTGTGTGATACAAGCATATGAGCATTCAGAGCAGGTAAAAGGTTTCTCTACAGAATGTTTATAAAGAATATGCCTACTTAACATATACTTAGAAAGACAAACATATTCACAATCAGCACAGGGAAAGGTTCTCTTGCATGCACGTTTATCAGGAATATGTTGCTGCAGCCTCTGGGTGAGCTGCTTGGAGCTGGATGTTGCAGAGACGTGGCCACCGCCACCAGCCGCTGCTGCAGAGACGTGGCCACCGCCACCAGCCGCTGCTGCAGAGACGTGGCCACCGCCACCAGCCGCTGCTGCAGAGACGTGGCCACCGCCACCAGCCGCTGCTGCAGAGACGTGGCCACCGCCACCAGCCGCTGCTGCAGAGACGTGGCCACCGCCACCAGCCGCTGCTGCAGAGACGTGGCCACCGCCACCAGCCGTTGCTGCGGCTCCCCCAGCAGTAGACAACGCGCCGCAGCTACGCTGCTCACACCGAGACACGTCACTTCAATCCAAATAACAGCAGCAATCACCTGGTTATTTATAAGCACAAGATTTTTGAGGCAAATACTTATTGGTAAAGTCTTAATTCATTATCAAATTTTAATTTTGAAAGTAAAATTAATGAACATTAAGCCTTTTGAGGGCAAGTTACCAAAACCCCAGCTTGTCCCCTAGTTAATGTATGATGCTACGTTATCACGCCTACGACCATCTCCAATCATCAGTTCATCCATCCATACATCTTCACCCCTGCCACGCCTAGGAATTCAAACATGAGTATTTACATTAATGTTTTGACTCAGACAATGAAATAGACGTTCTTACGAATTTTTGCAAAAAATCGGCAGAAGCAATATCAATTTGTTGAATTTAAAGTAGCTAGAGAAGATAAAATCAAATTGCAGCTTGATAGTTTCTCTTTACATTTGATTTGATAAGTTAAAAACAATTCAATTTCTTTTAGCGTAGTGACCATTTTTTATGGAATTTTTGTTGGCAATTTTCTCCAATATTATGAAAAATTTCTAAGAATCCATATGCGTAAATTGATCAGATAATTCTCTGCAAGTTCGGGTAGTGGCTCCACAAATTTGAATTACTGAATGTTTCTATGCTTCCTGAAACAATTTCTGAAACAATTTTTTGAGATCAATTTTGCCATCAGCAGCTACAGAAATAATAAAATAATAACACAAAACAGATAAGAAATATAAATAACAATAATGAAATAAGTATTAAGAAATGAAAGGTTACAAAATATTAACTGGAATGAAGTGTACAGAACAAGTAACCATACAAAATATGCACGCCAACACCCCACACTCCTGATGCACTGATGCCCATGACAGCCTCACTGGGAACATCCTTCCAAGGAACACTTGGCTGTCCATGCAAGCTTTGAATTCAGATTTACATATGGCGTTCAGTCACGCACCAGCTTCCTAATTTACAGAGAAACAAGGCTAGCTAATCTCAGCAAAATGTTTTACATTCATGCTGAGCGTTGTTCACAAAACTTTGAACATAATATTATAATTATACACTAATTCTGACGATTCTATAAGGAAAAATTAATGAGCAAAAACTAGCTAGAAGCTCCACGCGGGAGTCTCAAGCCATAAGGACATATACAATTTTTGAATTGTTATCAATTGTTTCCAACTTCCAGGCAAAATCCCTCTGAGTTAGCATCTGTAATTTTGCTTGCAAATGTATGAATGCGCAATTGTTGCAAAGCAAAACATTTCCATGAACTGTGCCCAAGGGCCACCCCGTCGCTGTGACATTTGTATGATAGAGAAATACTCGGTTACCACAATGAGAGTATTTTACAGTTCTGTCTATTAAAAAAAATATGGTTACATGATAGCTTGACGTAAATGAGTTAAAGTAAGAAAATTTCTTTTAGTTATTAGGGATCTTGCATTTTTATGAGCAAATATTATACACTAACATGAACAGTTTTGACTATTTATTTCCTACGATGTTTGGAATTTCTCATATAATTTTTAATTTCATTTCTCACATTGCTACAGCATTTCATTTCACTCTCCCAGCAACCTAAAGCACAACTACTGTCAAGACCGAAATATATAATTTGAAACATGTACAGCTTTAGATAATAAATTTAACTTGATGATGGCGTATGGTTTCTCTTTAGAATGTTTACCAAGGACATGGGTTCTTACTTCACTCTTTGTGACGCAATTGTATGGGCACACAGACAAATGGTTTCCCTAATGCTTTGAAAGAATATGTACCTTTAAAAGTTGTCGTGTAATGTAAGTAAATGATCAGTTAAAAACACAGAGGTTTCTCTGCTGAATGTTTGTGAAGAATATGACTATTTAGATGACTTTGTGTTATGCAAGTATATGAGCACTCAGAGCAGGTGAAAGGTTTCGCCACTGAATGTTTGGATAAAATATGTCGATTTAGCTGATATTGTGTGACACATGCATATTTACAGCCAGGACAGTGCAGAGGTTTCTCTGCTGAATGTTTACGAAGAATATGCACACTCAGATTTTGTTGAGTAACGCAAGTATATGAGCACTCAGAGCAGGTAAAAGGTTTCTCTGCTGAATGTTTGAATAAAATATGTCGATTTAGCAGATTTTGTGTGACACAAGTATATTTACAGTCAAGACAGTGCAGAAGTTTCTCTGCAGAATGTTTGGATGAAATATGCAGTCTCAGTTGCTGTTGTGTGACGCAAGCATATTTACAGTCAGGGCACTGCAGAGGTTTCTCTGCTGAATGCTTAAAAAGAATATGTCGACTTAGATTTTGTTGTGTGATGCAGGCAAATGAGCACTCTGGACAGATTAAAGGTTTCTCTGCTGAATGTTTATGAAGAATATGACTATTTAGATGACTTTGTGTGATGCAAGTATATGAGCACTCAGAGCAGGTGAAAGGTTTCTCTGCTGAATGTTTGGAGAAAGTATGCAGTCTTAGTTGCTGTTGAGTAATGCACCTATATTTACAGTCAGGGCAATGCAGAGGTTTCTCTGCTGAATGCTTAAAAAGAATATGTTGACTTAGATTTTGTTGTCTGATGCAGGCAAATGAGCATTCAGAACAAGTGAATGGTTTCTCTGCTGAATGCTTGAAATGAATATGTTTCCTTAAGTTATTCTTAAAAAAACTGACATAATCACAATCAGCACAGTTATATGTTCTCTTGTGTGCATGTTTATCAGGAATATGTCGCTCCAGCCTCTGGGTGAGCTGCTTGGAGCTGGACGATGCAGAGACGTGGCCACCGCCACCAGCCGCTGCTGCAGAGACGTGGCCACCGCCATCAGCCGCTGCTGCAGCTCGCGCAGCAGTGGACGGTGCGCCGCTGCCGTGCTGCACAAGGCGAATAGTTGCACATAATTGCAGATGATTAAAGGATGATATGTAACACGTTACTATTTGGCAGTAGACGATGCGATATAGTATCATAATCAAGTTTGACCTGAAGGTAGTTCGGTTGTAGCTGGATCCGAGGATATAGAGGAACAGCGTAAACGATTATATAATATACTTTTAGGATTATAGTTCGGCTTACAGTTTAGGATAATTTGAGTGTATAAGTCAAACATCAACTTTTTGTTAAGTTAATATTCAGAAATTAAATTTTGCAAGTAAATTGGAGAAATATTGCAATGTTAGGATAAATTTTTTGTGAGACCAATTTCGCCATTACTATAAAAAATAGAAAGTTAATATGAATAACATAAAATAAATATGCAAAATACAAATTAATACAATAAGTATCAAGAGGAAAATGTTAACAAATATCAAAACCAGGAATGAAGTCTAACAAAACAAAAAAAATATGCACACCAACACCCCACACTCCTGATGCACTGATGCCCACGACAGCCTCACTGGGAACATCCTTCCAAGGAGCACATGGCTGACCAAACCCACTAGCAAACTAGATTATGAGCTAATGACTACAGGCATAGAAAAACAACTTTTGAAAATGATAAAAATGTTGTCATAATATTTTTTCAGTAAATATTGTCCTGGTAAATGCAGGCTTAATATGAGGAATGATGTCATAAATATTCTGAGAGTCCTGCCTTAAATATTCAAATAAATATTCTGAGGGTCTTGCCTTGCATAAATATTCTTCTCTCTAACTACTCTTGGGCAAGTGTCAGGGAAAATACTTAGGAATTTAGTCATGAACATATCAAGGTCTTCAAATATGAAAGAAAAGAACACATTGTGGAGCTGCTGGGCTTTAAGAAGACTTTCACTCAACAGAGAATTTTCATGAATATTATGTACCGATATTAAAATTTTAACACAAGTCCTGGATTGAGCAACAGATATATCCTGGATTCAGTTATTAAATTTTCTATCTTCACAAAATGTTCACTCAAATTAATAATTTCATTTAAACAACACAGGAGATGCACCTTACAAAATAAGGAATTTTTTTTGGCAAACCCTCCCAACCTGTTTTTCTGTCACTCTTGCCATGGCTGAGGGTTGTTGGGGGGCGTGGGGAGCCTCATGAGCCTCACTTGGCGCTTCCCTCTTGCAGGGCACACACAGCGGGGGAGGAGGGACTGGCGGGTCCCCACAACCAGGCCTGGGACGGATAATTCCTGCAATTATGGAATATCCCCATGCTTTTCATTCTTGTAATTCCTAATCTCAATGATAGTAAGAAAGCATATATGTTTCCTAATTAAACCTTCTCTAAACAAACATTTTACGTCAAAGATGGAACCATCATTTTACTCTCGTTCCAAAATATGAAAAACTATTCTGTGAAAAACTATTTTAGCCCTTTCACGGGCAAGTTACCATATAGGTATGATCAATTGAAATTGCCTCGTTAAAAGCCCCACCACAGCTTCCTGTTTGTTTTTGAGGCTTCCTTATCATGCCTTCAATCACTAATTATCTGATCATCATTCTATGCATAGCATTACCACCTGCAATGCCCAAAAATTAAAATATATTTAGAAAAAATGAAAGTTAAAATGAAAGTTTAGACTTGGTCAGTTGGATGATGGAATTGACGCTCTTTCTGCATTTTTTCAAAAGGTGGAAGCCACTGTGCAGAGAGTGGTTGAATATTGCAAGATCTTTGGCGATGCTTCAGTAGCAAAATTTATGCATTCAGAAGATCTTGCCAACACATTTAGATTGAAGTTCTTGCATTTAATAAATTTGTCATTCTTCGGCTAACTATTTAGAAAAAAGTAAGGTTTCTGGTAAGTGGATGGATCAGGATGAAGTGAAGCTTGTCCAGAAATCAGTTGCGATGAGTTCCCGCCAAAGAAATGTAAACAACAAGTTTATGATTACATAGTTGCAGTCACATTAGAGCGGTCAGACTGCATTATCACATGTTCCGTTGACACTTGCTGTACAATTGGACTGTTTTTAGGGTAAAATTAGTTATTTGGGGTAACACGTTGTAGAGGGCTAGGTTAATTATTAAGGATCAATGTGTAATATCTTGATGTATAGTGTATAGGAAAAAGACATATTTTAATTAGGATGTAAAAGTTGTAAGATTGTTTTAGAGAGAATCGTAGCTTTGCTGACTGGTGTCGTACGAACGGATTTATATTCGGATTTTAGAGAGCGGACAGGAAGGATCCCTCTATTCGGCCTGTATATGTCTTGTGCCAGATTGTCTCGATTAACTGTGTAACCGTGCCCAATTTTATATCTGTGTTGTGGTGTTGGATTTTAAGTATATTTTGGCCAGAAAAGACTTTTATTCAAGACAACAGTTCATGCGAACCTGGTGGTCCACAACAACGTGCATGCAACCTTGTAAATAAGTTCGTCGTTTGTAAATAGTTTTTCATTACTCAGCGCAAATGGTTTTTCATTAAAAATTACCCGGCAATGCATCTTGAAAATGGCCGGCGACGCTTTGGGCTTAAAAACCCATATATTGGCAATGCTGCTTCCATCCTCTGCACCCTGGGGTGGAAGTATTAACATATATTGAAATATTTCTGGTAACTTGATAAAATTGTATTAAATTAAATTGTTTTGTTACTTATTTTTTATTTGCATTAACTAAATTTTAATTATAAAGAAAAATTTTGTGTACTGACTGCATTTAATAAATTCTTCAGGAGCAATTTAAACTTTCAATAGACAAAATTTTTTAAGATACATAAAAATAAATAGGAATATCGTATAATACTTCTTACTTTCTTGAAATGGTTTCTGAAATTTTGATTTCTGAATATTTCAATGCTTGCCTGCTAAACGGTCGACTTAAAAACCTTTAAACCTAAATTCATACATATAAATTTAAAAATCAAATTTTAATTATTGATCTAATAATGACACTAGGAAGAAAATTTCAGGTGCAGGCAATATCACAACATGATAAGTATCCTAGATATCCCTTTATATTAGTGGTGTTAGGCTTCAAATGCACAAACTCACACACCAACTTTGCTGAATATGTGCAAACTTGCTATGCTATTTATAAAATAGGTAGTTAATAAATAGTGAAGTATTTTATTTCCCTCAATCCTCTGCCTGATATTTTTCGGGTTATGAAATCTCCATTTACCTTTCAGCCACAAACTGCTTCTACATAAAACCATGCCAATTAACTACAAGTTAATGGTACATATTGCTTGTAATGGAAATTAAAGTCCAAAAATATGTAAATCACAAAACCTTGGATTCAATTTCCAAACATGAACAGAACTACTACATAAAACCATGCCAATTAACTATAAGTTAATGGTACATATAGCTTGTAATGGAAATTAAAGTCTGAAAATATGTAAATTATAAAACATTAGGTTCAATTTCCAACCATGAACACAGCTATTACATGCAACCATGCCAATTAACTACCTAAGTTAATGGTACATATTGCTTGTAATGAAAATTAAAGTTCAAAAATATGTAAATTACAAAGCCTTGGATTCAATTTCCAACAATGAACCCAGCTACTACATACAGCCATGCCAATTTAATACAAGTGCAGGATGGAGCAAAATGCCAGGCTCACCTTCACACTTCACACTGCCAGCATCAGCACACACTTGAGCAAGGCTTGGCATGGCACACCAGCCCCTCCCCACGGCAGCTGCAGGGACTTGGTGCAGCAAAACCCGGCACTTGGATATATTACGGGGCATGATTATAAGATTGCAAAATATTTTTGCCAGAAAATCTGAAACAAGAAAGTTTGGAAAATTTATTGAGTGGCTCTATATATCTATAGGAAACTCATAGAAAAAACCTTAAACTGTTATGCAGTAAATGTTTGGAGGATTTAAATAATTTTTATTAATCATTTGTTTATTCAGAATTTATGTATCCCAACAATGGGCAGAACTTATTAAAATAATCTTGACTGATGGTGCAAATAATGAAGTGTGGATGAAAATTTACCACTCTAAACAATAGCTACAGGTGAAATTCCTACTGGACCGTATGTTTAAACATCCGGCCGGAGCCACATGCATATTGATCTTTAGAAGTAAAAAATATATACCTTGAGTAAATTGCTGAGCTAATATCTCAGTGGATTCTCCACCCAAATTGCCATATTTACCCCAAGAACATACAAAATCAAATTTTTCCCTTCAATTTTGAGCCACATAGGCTGATGAGCTCTCAACCTTCTGATGTCACTTATCAGAGAAGGATCCAAAAGTTTAAAATCTTCTCACCAAGATGTTCACATGGTATAAGTTTCTGGATTGAACTAAAATTTGTGACTTCGAAGCCTCAGGCTTCCAAATCCACTAAAATAGTTCTTTTAACTACGAGGCATGTTTTTTTAATAAGTAAGAACCATTTTGGAATTAAAAAAATATGTGCAAAGATATTGCAATAATTTCTTTTAACTTGAAAGCCTGTACATTAATCTACTTTTCTACATAATTTCTGTGAATATTGAAGCACTTGTCATAATGTGGCACCAGTTTTGAATACCCTCCTGATTAAATTCTGCCACCTGACTATTGCCTCTGCATTAAAAATGTTCTGAATTCATTATCATCTTGAAGATGCCGATCACCCAGGCGTTTCTTCAAGTGCAGGAACAAATGTTAGTCGCTGAGCACCAGATTAGGTGGTTAACAGATTTGTGATGCAGTGGTAGAGAGAAGTCAGGTGGCAGAATTTTATCAGGAGGGTATTCAAAAACTGGTGCCACGTTATGACAAGTGCCTCAATATTTACAGAAATTATGTAGAAAAGTAGATTAAGGTACAGACTTTCATGTAAAAATAAAATTATTGCAATATCTTTGAACGTCTTTTTTAACTCTATAATGGTCCTTACCTTAAAAACATGACTCATATCTAACTTGAAATTTTTTTCACTTTTGATTTATAACATAATATAGGGAACCTCTCATATTGAGAACCCACTATATGAGATAACGAATGGGCAACAACCATAGGTAGAAGAAATTAAAAGGAAAAAACTGCACAAATTCTCAGAAAATTTCATCTGTGCCCATGTATCATAATGACAAGTTATGCACAACAGGCATGGAATATATCTACTAGGCAAGCCGCAATTGAATTTTTTGAGCCATGGTTTTATGGATTTGCCAGCTGTGATTCCATTTTTTCGAGCCATGAATTCCATATCTTGGCCATGAAAAACCATTTACAAGGCGCAAATTTATTTACAAAGTCCATGCACGTGTTACCCTAAATCTCTAATTTTACCCTAAAACAGTCAAACGGCAACAATAAAATTTGTCTTTACTGTAAGTTGAGCTGCCTTGAGCACGTGTAAATGCAGTCTGACCGCTTTGACATGACTGCAACAATGTGCAATCTTCCACAAAATTCCATGATGCTTTACTTGTCTTCTAATAGGACACAAAAAAGAGCAAAACTAGTCTCTCGTTTACCACTATGCGAGTTTATTGTGAAGGAACAAACTTAATTGGATGAAACTTATGACCAATTAATAAAAATGCGCCGCTGGAAGTATTTTGGAAAATTTTTAGTCGGATTCGTATTCGATAAGCCAAAATAAACTTCTAGCCTTTTGAAATTCATTTCAATAAGTAAAATGGTAAAGTAAACCAATTACGATGGTAAATATACTTTAAATTTCCTCCATTTTATTCAGAATCATTGAAGAGGCGAGCTGAGAATTTAAACAAGTTTCACAAGGTTCGCCGCCTTGAACAAGAATACGCGGAGAAGAAAAGTCGCTATGAAATTAATGATTTTTACTTCATCCTCTGCCTGGTCTGCGTTTCACACAAAAAACACTTCCGTCAAAAATAAAATTTGAAAGCACCTGGAATAACATTTGTTATATGAGCCCTGCCAGTGGCAGCACGGCAAAAGCTAACATTTAAACAGAACTAAAACGGAAATATATCCGCGAAAGTACAAAGTTACAGTGAAAGAGTTTTCCCTAAGCAAAAATTTGCAATAAAAGTCAAGCCAGGATGGACAGAAGGCGGCAACCACCACCGCAGCAGCTGCAACAATTGATGCCAGGCTGACAATCCCCAAGAGCCGCCAGTCCCTCTGACAGTTGGTGGGCAGAGCAACAAATTTACTCTCACTTCTCCCTCGAAGCTGAAGCTTTGTATGCTGTAATCCTGCCCCTAAGTTAAAGCCTTGTATGCTGTAATCCTGCCCCTAAGTTAAAGCCTTGTATGCTGCAATCCTGCCCATAAGCTAAAGCCTTGTATGCTGCAATCCTGCCCCTAAGTTAAAGCCTTGTGCTGCAATCCTGCCCCTACGTTAAAGCTTTGTATGCTGCAATCCTGCTCCTAAGCTAAAGCCTTGTATGCTGCAATCCTGCCCCTAAGTTAAAGCCTTGTATGCTGCAATCCTGCCCCTACGTTAAAGCTTTGTATGCTGCAATCCTGCTCCTAAGCTAAAGCCTTGTATGCTGCAATCCTGCCCCTAAGTTAAAGCCTTGTATGCTGCAATCCTGTCCATAAGTTAAAGCCTGGTATGCTGCAATCCTGCCCCTAAGCTAAAGCCTTGTATGCTGTAATCCTGCCCCTAAGCTAAAGCCTTGTATGCTGTAATCCTGCCCTTAAGCAAAAGTCTTGCATGCTGTAATCCCACCCCTTAGCCGGGTCCCTGTATGCTGTAATCCAGTCCCTAAGCTGAGGCCTTGTATGCTGCAATCCTGCCCCTATGCTAAAATCATATAAGTTGTAATGCCGCTTCCAAGCTAAAATCTTGTATGCTGTAATCCAGCCCTTAGATGAGGCCTTCCACAATGTAATCCTGCCTCTAAGCTAATGTCTTGTATGCTGTACTCTCGCTTCTAAGCTAAAGCCTTGCATGCTGTAATCCTCCCCCTTAGCTGAGGCCTTCCATGCTGTAATCCTGCCCTACGCCATAGCCTTGTACGCTGTAATCCTGACCCTAAGCTAAAGCCTTGTATGCTGTAATCCTGCCTCTTATCTAAAATCTTGTATGCCGTACTCCCGCTTCTAAGCTAAAGTACTGTATGCTGTAATCCTGACTGTAATCTAAAAACTTGTATGCTGTACTTTTTCTAAGCTAAAGTCTTGTATGCTGTAATTCTGCTCCTAAGCTAAAGCCTTGTATGATGTAGTCCTGCCCTAAATTAAAGCCTTGCATGCAGTAATCCTACATCCTGCTCACGAATGCATACGGAGAATATGTCGATCGAGAAAGCGACGTTGGACGCAAGAATATTTACACTTAGTGCAGCCAAAAGGTTTTTGTGCTGAATGCTTGGAAAGAATGTGTAAATTTAGATCGCGTTTTTTGACGCAAGCATATTTACAATCAGGACAGTTCAGGGGTTTCTCTGCTGAATGTTTATAAAGAATATGTTGCCTGAGATCTTTTTGTGTGACACAGGCAAATGAGCATTCAGAGCAGGTGAAAGGTTTCTCTCCTGAATGTTTGTAAAGAATATGTCGACTTAGTTGTTGTTGCGTGATGCAAGCATATATACAGTCAGGACAGTGCAGAGGTTTCTCTGCTGAATGCTTGAAAAGAATATGTCGACTTAGTTGCTGCTGTGTGACGCAAGTATATGAGCACTCAGAGCAGGAAAGAGGTTTCTCTGCTGAATGNCTACAAAATGTTCCGATGATTCTACAATAGCTTTAAGCCCCAGTAATAATAAGTAATATTATTCAGTAAACCATTAATAAGAGAAAGCTAAAAACCTTCCCACGCGGCTTTTGGCAACATCGGCGATCGAGCTTGAGAACCGTTACAGGTTCTATTCAAAATTAAGGCGTGCTGCTGTTCGGGCAACTCTAAAGATACTCTAGGATATCTTTCATATAACCACTGGGTGAGTGTAAAATTATCATTAATGATGTAACCTTGTTGTTGATAAATGTTCTGTGTAGTTTATCCTAGCATTATATTCTAAATTGAGCTATAGGATAACTAAGAAATGTGTCCTGCTGACCCAAGTACCTATAGGGGCCAGACTAGCTGAACCCTCTGATGACCCAATCTGGCTTAGCCCTTAGTTCAAGATGAAGGAAGAGTACCTTAGAGTATCACAGTATTAAACTTAGTATTACTAAATATCAATTTAATTAACCAAATAGTAATCCCTTTTAGCTCCTTTGATGTTGAGCAATTCTCATGTTAATAATCTTAATTCTTCTGATGCCCTCGTGAATATGTAATGCAATGCTGTTCCATATTATTAGGACTATTATCAGTCTAGAGCAGTTGAGTGGACTGGATTTGCATAACCCTTGTGAGACCTAATGTTCTATTTGACTAGAGTAAAGATCAGCAAAAATTAGGGTTGCTTAATCAGAAGGAAAATAAATGTAAAACATGCCAAGATGAATCAAATCACAGACGCATAAAACATTGAGTGGCAGCACTAGATTCAGTCATCATTGTCACTGTTGATGGAAAGTTTTGGAACATGCTTAATAGTTGATGAATTGAAGAATTACATGAATTTTGATTAAACTTAAATTGTTTATTGTTGAGGAATTTGACTTGATTGAGTTTTAACAAGAGGAATTTGGATTTGATAGAATGAACTGTAATTTAGACCGTGATTTGGAAATTGACATAATTAGGAATAATAACTATTTAATTGTATTTTGAATTGATAATAATTATATTTGGCTATATAATTAAATTATATTTCAAATTGATATGGAGTTGTGATATTTTGGATATTTAACTAATAATAAGTAAATTGAGCATAAGCCAACCATTGAATACCACTTTAATCGGATTTATGCGCTGGAATGTGAACAGCATAGATTTTCTATTTTGAAGATGTTGATAAAACAACTCCATGTTATATTCATAATTGGGAGACTAATTAATCTAGGTTTGATTCATTGTATATTGAAATTTTGATCTATTTCGATTTTTGATTATGTAATATTGATTGCTTATTGATTGATATTGATAAATTGATTATTGAGCGATTACTGATTATTCAATCATTAGTTGTTTATTTATATAATTATTCGATTAGTGATTTTGATTCAGTTAGATTCATTAATATTGAAGTCATAATATTCATTAGTATTGTTCAAATGAGAGATATTCAATTAGATAAACTTAATTGGGAAACCTTAGGAAACACTAAATGGAATGAATTTTTGGGTTACTGATTGAAACATTAATGATCTAAATTATTGTTTTGATAAAATGTAAAGATAAGTTGGTCCACCCTAATATTAATTAAAATAACTTATCATGAATTTAAATTATGCGGATTTGAATTTAAAATGCAGATTATGAATTATTTAACCCATGTCATGTACTAATGCTCAACATTGTTCACAGACCTTTATTATCATACCTTATTTATACAAAGCAAATAAACCCTCAAAACCTTGGACTTGCACACTTCTATTATCCTACGATCCTCAAGGAAAGTAACTACCAGACAATTAAATCGCCAGCTAACTCAATAACGACCCCAGTACAATAACCTTCCCTTAAACTTATTGTGGAGCTGGCGTGCTTTAAGAAGATTAGCTTGACAGAGATAATTTTCATGGGTATTATATATATGATAATAAAATTTCAACACAAGTCAAGGATTGAGCAGCTAAGAGATCCACAGAGTCACTAATTATATTCCTGATCTTCATACAAAATTCACTCAAAATAAGTTTTAATTTCAATTCAACAACACAGGAGATGCACCCAACACAATTAAGATTTTACCCCCTGACTAACACTACCCACCCGTTTTTTAGTAGCCCCTGCCAGAGCTAAGGGTTGTTGGGGGGCGTGGAGGGCCTCATGAGCCTCAATTGGCGCTTTTTTCTTGCAGGGCACACACAGTGGGGAAGGGGGGACTGGCGGGTCCCCACAACCAGGGCTGGGCAGCTCATGGGCCTGCCAAGAAAGATAAAGAAATATTTCTGTTATTAGGAAAACCAAATTTCTGGAAAATCTTGTGTTTGACACTTAGATTCATTAGTATAAAACATTGTTCTGCAAGATATATCTTATAATATATCAAATTTACATTTCTTACATTCAGGACTTTGTTGCTTATAACAAAAGTTAAAAGTTTTCAGATGACAGCTAACATGTGTACCTTTTCATCATAATTGAATGGTTCTTCCTTTACACTTATAATCTCCATTGCATCCAAAAGTTCCTCCTTGATGTTCTCCATTGGAACTTCAGGGGCTGAAGAGGCAGCCCCAGCATCCAAAACTGCAGAAAGGAAATAGAGAAGTTAGACAAAAAATGTTCCTCAGATATAAATGTTTTCTGAATATAGAAAATTTGTATTAATTTCCAAAATAGGTTAATGCTACATATTATTTGCAATGGAAATTGTCTGGAAATATGTTAATTACATAACCACGGATTCAATTTACAACCATGAACAGAGCTACTACATACAACCATGCCAATTAACTGTAAATGCAGGATGCGGCAAAATGCCAAGCTCACCTTCACACTTCACGTGTACCTCTTCGTCACAATTGAATGACTCCTCCTTCACATGAACTGGCTCCATGGCTTCCACTAACTCCTCCTTCACATGAACTGGCTCCATGGCTTCCACTAACTCCTCCTTGACGTACACAATTGGAACTTCAGGGGCTGAGGAGGCAGCACTAGCATCCAAAGCTGCACAAAGTAAATAGTGAAGCAGGGTGTAAAATGTTCCTCAGAATATAATGTTTCATCCACATAGAAAATCATTATTCATGTTCCAAAGAGGTTAGATGTTACATTGTAAGTTTCTAATGGAAATTTCTGTCTATCCATAGCCTGTTTGTCCGAGAACCTGTAATTTTCAAATATTATCTGATTAATTTACAGTCAGGTAATCGGAAGTTACTAATTGTTGATAGTATCAATTAAAAATGTGTCTTGGACTTGGTGCAGCAAAACCCGGCACTTGAATGCATTGCTTGCCATGATAGTACCATATGTGATGATTGTAGGTTTCCAATAAATGATAAAAATGAAATCTTCAGGCTATGTGACACTTTATTGAGAAAATCTGTGTATATAAATATATCTGCACAAAAAAATCATCAAGCAGTTACGCTTTTAAAACCTCCCAGGGAAATCCATTAGCTGACAAGTCCTTTGCTGCGTAAGTTTAAATGGGTAAAGTTTGAACCCTTCTTGAAATGGTTGTCAAATGCTCTATTTTATAGAGGCCAAGCAAATTTAAACTCAGACCTTCCTTAAAAACAAGAAAAATCTTTTGTCATATTGCATCAAAAATTTGTTTTCAACTGAATGATGTTGCTTTTAATTAATTTACATGAAATGGCACAATCAAAAACAAGTGTTAGGAATAATATTTTGGATATCATAATTTTAATGCAAAAGAGAATCTATCTACAAATTTTATTAAGCCATGCCCTAGTTTGCATATCATTAGTCATAGTAATAGCAGTTTGGGCATTGATTTGACTATTAGATCTGTCACCAATTCTCAACATTGCAGTATAGATTCACAGCCTGTAGTGGTCTCATACATGTAACTCGCTGCTCTAATTCTGCTGTGCTTAACGGCCAAGCTTCCTTGCTGATTTTGACCAGAAACTGTCATACAGAGCTGGGATTGAACCCGCACCTCACTGCCACAATCCTGGTACACTGAACTGTAACCAACCCACTTTATTAGTTATGACTAACTCTCACTACAATTTCTAGTTTTGGGAATATTTTCCAAAACTGCAGGTAACAGCAATCATTTCACAAGTGATTTTTAAAAACTGCTAGCAAAATAACAATTTTTCGTCTTATATTTAATATCATCTTATAATTAACCCTTTATCAGGGAAGTCCCCACATATAGTCACTTATAAGCTCCTTCCAAAAAGCTTATATAATTGCCTGTGTGCACAGGCAATTATTTTCCAGTTTGGCTCTCACTCACATTCTGAGTAGGAGAGGTTGCTCCTGTATTCCCATTTATGGGAGGCCAGTAGATATATTTCACACCTCCCTGCAATAAAATGGATACAATTTGTATCCATTGCTTTACAAGTTGGCATGTACTATATATATCTATCCTCTGAGGCACTATTAGCCAATTCTCAAAAAAATTGGGCAGAAGACACCTATCAATGAGACAAAAATGACTGCTTGCACTCAATGTCGCCCATTTTTGTGGCTTTTATCTAATTTATTCCATGATAAATATTCAAATTTGCCATATTTTGCAAGCAATTTTTCAAGAATGACCATAAATTAATAGCTTTTACCTGCAATTTTTGAAAATGTCTGCTCAATATTACAAATTGCTATTAGAGCTTTTGTACCATTTTTGGAGCAGCGAAATTCTGAGTAGATGAATTTTCTTCTATATACTGAGGTGGGCAGTAGCGCGCTACATGAAGCGGCCGCTACATTTTCAGTAGCAGTAGCGGCACTACATTTACAGCAATGTAGTGGTAGCGGTAGCGCCCACTACATATTTAAGTAGCGATGCGAGGTTTTGCGAGGTACAGCACTACTGCTACAGCACTACTGCTACATTTATAGATAAAGCCTTTAGATTTTACTTAAGGGGGGTATACCCTCCAGAAAAACTTCCACATTTACTAACGGATCTTTCTGAAATTTCACACATATATGTAAAACCCAAATACAAAAAACATTTGTTTGTATGATTTTTTTGGAAAAATTGAAAGAAAACGTGAAATTCATAGAAAACGGACAGAAAGGGATACTGCAGAAATCTATCTCCTCCTAGGGTTTTCAAGCTACAACATTGATACGCATACCATTCGATGCGTAAAGACCATACCTGTTGAGTTATTGAGCCCTTTTTTGATTTTTGCCTTAAATTTTTTACACGCATTTTTCCATTTTCTTCTCATTTTTTTCAAAATTTCCCCCCTCCCTCTCTTTTTAAATCCAAACTATGCACAAATCTAAAAAAGGCTCGATAACTCGATAGGTATGGTCTTAACGAATCGATACAAAACTAAACTTTATAGGAAATTGACTCCAGTCAAGGATGGTGGGAGCGACTGCATGCACACCTCCTCATACGATGCCAGGCGGGTAACTAAGGTGCACCTCAAGCCGACACTCTATTTAAAGTGCTCGCAGCAAATTTCCTCCTATTCTATTTGTTAAAGAACTCCCCCACCCCCCTCCCTTTCATGATCTGTCGCGAACGCATAAATCAATTTACAGAGATGGTAATGGTACCATTGAATAGGGTAGAATGTCAGCTTTAAGATGAGACTAAAAACCGGAAAAGCCAAATCCAAAAACTTTAGGGTAGACGCCCCCTTAAGTTGTTACCAGTTACCACTTACAGGTATTTTATCATGTTTTCATTTGCTTACAGTTATTTTTATGTTTCACCTTCCCTACATGGATGTCTACTTGAATCTATATATAAAAAATCAGTCTTTTATTTGTATATATATGTGGATACTTTTTGAGATTGGTACATTAAAGTAGACATCCATGTAGGGAAGGTAAAACATAAAAATAAGTAAATAACTAACTTCTATTTACTGTGTCTAACCACAGTAACCAGTACTAGTTTGGTTAGGTTAATTGCAATAAAGTTGAATTGATATGTTTTGAAAATGTTTTATTCTCATTTAATGTTTATGAGTAAATCCCAATAGCAGAACAATAAATATTAAGAGATTTCTAATAATTTTGGCCATTGTAGCGGCTAATATCTGTCTCTTATACACATCTAGATGTGTATAAGAGACAGCACATAAATATTCTGAGGGTCTTGCCTTGCATAAATATTCTTCTCTCTAACTACTCTTGGGCAAGTGTCAGGGAAAATACTTAGGAATTTAGTCATGAACATATCAAGGTCTTCAAATATGAAAGAAAAGAACACATTGTGGAGCTGCTGGGCTTTAAGAAGACTTTCACTCAACAGAGAATTTTCATGAATATTATGTACCGATATTAAAATTTTAACACAAGTCCTGGATTGAGCAACAGATATATCCTGGATTCAGTTATTAAATTTTCTATCTTCACAAAATGTTCACTCAAATTAATAATTTCATTTAAACAACACAGGAGATGCACCTTACAAAATAAGGAATTTTTTTTGGCAAACCCTCCCAACCTGTTTTTCTGTCACTCTTGCCATGGCTGAGGGTTGTTGGGGNGCTGCTGCAGAGACGAGGCCACCGCCACCAGCCGCTGCTGCAGAGACGTGGCCACCGCCACCAGCCGCTGCTGCAGAGACGTGACCACTGCCACCAGATGCTGCTGCAGAGACATGGCCACCGCCACCAGCCGCTGCTGCAGAGACATGGCCACAGCCACCAGCCGCTGCTGCAGCTTCCCCAGGCGTAGACAACTCGCCGCTGCTGCGCTGCTCACAACAAGACACGTCACTTCAACCCAAATAACAGCAGCAATTACCTTATTATTTATAAGCACAAAATTTTTGAGACAAAAACTTATTGGTAAAGTCTTAATTCATACTCAAATTGTAATTTTGAAAATAAAATGAATGAACATTAAGCCTTTCGTGGGCAAGTTACCAAAAGCCCAGCTTGTCCCCTGGTTTATGTATGATGCTACATTATCACGATACATTATGATACATTATCAATATCCAATCATCAGTTCATCCATCCATACAAATTCACCCCTGCCATGCCTTGGAATTCAAACATGAGCATATAAATTAAAGTTTTGACTCGGACAATAAAATTGACGTTCTTACGCATTTTTTAAAAAATTGGAAGCAGCAATAATAATTTGTTTACTTTAAAGTAGCTAGAGAAAATTAAATCAAAATGCAGCTTGATAATTTCCATTTGCTTTTGATGGAATATAATAAGAAAATTCCAATTTCTTTTAGGGTAGTGACCGATTTTTATGAAATTTTTGTTGGCAATTTCTCCAATATAATGGAAAATTTCTAGAAATCCATACGCGTAAATTGATTTGATAATTCTCTATAATTTTTAGTAGTGGCTCCACAAATCTGAATTTCTGCATGTTTCTATGCTTCCTGAAACAATTCCTGAAACAATTTTTTTGATATCAATTTTGCCATCAGCATCTACAAAAATAATAAAATCAAATAATGGCACAGAACAGATAAGAAAATATAAGTAACAAAATAAGTAGCAAGAAAAAATGGTACAAAAGTTTAACAGGAATAAAGTGTGCTAAACAAACAACCATACAAAATATGCACGCCAACACCCCACACTCCTGATGCACTGATGCCCATGACAGCCTCACTGGGAACATCCTTCCAAGGAGCTCATGGCTGACCAAACCCACTAACAAACTAGATTATAAGTTAATGACTGCAGGCATAGAAAAACAGCTTTTAAAAATAAGAAAAATGTGGTCATAATATTTTTTCAATAAATATTGTCCTGCTGAATGCAAGAGTCAATATGTGGAATGATCTCCTAAATATTCTGAGGGTCTTGCCTTGCATAAATATTCTGGGAGTCCTGCCTCAAATAAATATTCTGAGGGTCTTTCCTTGCGTAAATATTCTTTTCTTCAACTACCCTTGGGCAAGTGTCAGGAAAATTACTTAAGAATTTAGACATGAACATATAAGGTCTTAAAAAATGAAAGAAAAGAACTCATTGTGGAGCTGCTGGGCTTTAAGAAGACTTTCACTCAACACAGATAATTTTCATGAATATTAAATACTTGATATTAAAATTTTAACACAAGTCCTGGATTGAGCAACAGATATATCCTGGATTCAGTTATTAAATTCTGTATCTTCACAAAATGTTCACTCAAATTAATAATTTCATTTAAACAACACAGGAGATGCACCTTACAAAATAAGGAATTTTTTTGGCAAACCCTCCTAACCTGTTTTTCTGTCACTCCTGCCATGGCTGAGGGTTGTTGGGGGGCGTGGGGAGCCTCATGAACCTCACTTGGCGCTTCCCTCTTGCAGGGCACACACAGCGGGGGAGGAGGGACTGGCGGGTCCCCACAACCAGGGCTGGGTAGCTCATGGGCCTGCCAAGACAGATGAAAAATATTTCCATTATTATGAAAATGAAATCTCTGGAAAATCTTGAGGTGTTTGACACATACATCCATTAGTATAAAGCATTGTTTTGTAAGATATATCTCAAATATGTCAAATTATACCTTTCTTTCATTCAGGACTTTGTTGCTTTTAACAAAAGATTACATCATAATCAAGTTTCCATATGCCAGCTAACATGTGTACCTTTTCATCATAATTGAATGGCTCTTCCTTTACGCTTATAATTTCCATTGCATCCAACAGCTCCTCCCTGATGTTCTCAATTGGAATTTCAGGGGCTGAGGAGGCAGCCCCAGCATCTGAAACTGCAAAAAAGAAATAGAGAAGTTAGACAAAAAATGTTCCTCAGATATAAATGTTTTCTAAACATAGAAAATTAGTATTAATTCTCCAAATAGGTTAAAGCTACATATTATTTGTAATGGAAATTGTCCGGAAATATGTAAATTACAAATCCACGGATTCAATTTACAACCTTGAACACAGCTACTACATACAACCATGCCAATTAACTATAAGCTCAGGATGTGGCAAAATGCCAGGCTCACCTTCACACTTCACGTGTACCTCTTCGTCACAATTGAATGGCTCCTCCTTCACATGAACTGGCTCCATGGCTTCCACTAACTCTTCTTTGACGTTTACAATTGGAACTTCAGGGGCTGAGGAGGCAGCACTAGCATCCAAAGCTGCACAAAGTAAATAGTGAAGCAAGGTGTAAAATGTTCCTCAGAATAAAATGTTTCATCCACATAGTAAATCAGTATTCATGTTCCAAAGAGGTTAGTTGCTGAGTTGTAAGTTTCTAATGGAAATTTCTTTCCATCATTAGCCTGTTTGTCCGAGAACCTGTAAATTCTAAATATTATCTAATTCATTTACAGTTGGGTAATTAGAAGTTATTAATTGTTGACAGTATAATCAAAAATGAGTCTACACATGAAAAATTTCTATAAGCTAAAGCAGGTTACTTTTTACAACACTTCTCTTTAACTTCACTTCTTGTTGTTTGTCTGTTTGTCTGTCTGCTACAAATCTTATAATCAATATTTAACACACACTTCTAACCGTCCAATCGATCCAAAATTTGTCACACTTGCATAAAGTCAGAGACTATGCATGAATCAGTTGATGGAATAAATAATTTTGATAATTTACAAAATTTTGATTTAAAAAAAAATTGTGCAAAATACTTTTTTTTATATTTGAAAAAAAAAATTAAAAATTCATTGTACATGCATAACATCCAAGGATTCTTCAGAAGTGTTGTCTTTAAAAAGTAATTTTTAAATGCATATTATTATAGAAGAGGTATGATAGAAGACCTTCTTATTCATATTATTTGTCATTTATTTTCATTTTCTGCATTAAATTGACCATGACATCTGTTAACAATCAACAAATACATAACATCTGTTATCTATTTTTGATCAAAGACAGCACTTCTACATACAACCATGCCAATTAACTATAAGTGCAGGATGGAGCAAAATGTCAGGCTCACCTTCACACTTCACACTGCCAGCATCAGCACACACTTGAGCGAGGCTTGGCATGGCACACCAGCCCCTCCCCACGGCAGCTGCAGGGAGTTGGTGCAGCAAGACCCGGCACTTGAATGCATTGCTTGCCATGATAGTATGTGATGATTGCAGATTTCCAATAACTGATAAAAATGAAATCTTCAGGCTATGTGACACATCATTGAGAAAATCTGTATATATAAATATATCTGCACAAAAAATTCATTAAGCAGTTACAATTTTAAAAACTTACCAGGGGAAATCCATTAGCTGACAAATCCTTTGCTGCGTAAGTTTAAATGGGTGAAGTTTGAACCCTTCTTGAAATGGTTGTCAAATGCTCTATTTTATAGAGGATAAGCAAATTTGAACTCAGTCATTCCTTAAAAACAAGGAAAAATTTTTGTCCTGTACTTTTTGTTTGATGTATTGCACTCAATATTAGTTTTCAACTGAATGAGGTTGCTGTTAATTAATTTACATGAAATGGCATGATCAAAAACAAGTGTTAGGAATAATATTTTGGATATCATAATTTCAATGCAAAAGAGATTCTATCTACAAATTTTATTAAGCCATGCCCTAGTTTGCATATCATTAGTTATAGTAAGAGCAGTTTCAGCATTGACTTGGCTATTAGATCTGTCACAAATTCTCAACATTGCAGAACATTCACAGCCTGTTGTGGTCTCATACATGTAACTCACTGCTCTAATTCTGCTGCGCTTAACAGCCAAGCTTCCTTGCTGATTTTGACCAGAAACTGTCATACAGAGCTGAGATTAAACCCGCACCTCACTGCCACAATCCTGGTACACTGAACTGTAACCAACCAATTTTCTTAATTATGACTAACTGTCAATACAATTTATAATTTTGGGAATACTTTCCAAAACTGCAGATAACAGCAATCATTTCACAAGTGATTTTGAAGAACTGTTAGCAAAACAACAATTTTTCATCTTATATTTAATATTATCTTACAATTAACCCTTTATCAGGCATGTCACCACATATAGTCACTTATAAGCTCCTTCCAAAAAGCCTAGCTTGTCCCCTTGGGTGTGTGTGAGGCTTTGTTGGCTTGCCTCCATACACCTTCACCCTCTTCCATGCCCAAGAATACGCCTGCTCGTCTATAACGTCAGCGCCCGCACGTCATACTATATAAATAGTATATATATACTTTACTCAATTAAGCTAATTTAGGCCTCTAATTGCTAGTTTTTATGATTGTATCCGAAATTGTTAGACGAAAATAGCCTGCATGCCGAATTTCAGATCTCTAGAGCAATCAAAAGTGGTTTAATTTTCGTTGTCAATTTTAACAACAAACAAACGCGAAGCTAAGCTAAGAAAAACGTTTTAAAATACAAGCATTAAAATGAAAGTTTTGACTCGGAACAGTGAAATTGATGCTTCTTCCACATTTTTCTGAAAAGATGGAAAAAGAAGCAATAAAAACTTCAGGAATTTAAAGTAGCCAGATACATTAAATCATATGGCTGCTCTATAATTTGTCATTGCATTTGAATTTACAAAGGAAAACAATTTAAATTTCTTTTTGCGTAGTGCCTGCTTTTCATGGAATTTTCATCTGCAATTTACTACAATTTGTGCAAAATTTTGAAATTCCACATGAGTAAATTTATCTTATAGTTATCAATACTGCCTCATAGCGGCTCTAAAAATTCAAATTTCTGCATATTTTTATGCTTGTCTGCGAAAGGGTTCAATTAGGAAGGGGCTACGAGATAAGGTACCATCAAACGGGGTAATAAGGGACAGGCAGGGTAATAAGGGACAGTCCTCAGACATTTTGTAGAAATGTTATAGCAGCAAAACTAATGAAAATATTGCAAAACCAAAAATATTGGCATCAAGTTCAACATTTTCTCTATCTATGTAGCATAAAGCAAGTTGAGAAATCATACATTTACTACCTCTAAGAATCCTTGAAAAAAAGTGTGAAAAGTGAGATTTTGGAAAGTACCTCTGTTAAGGTCTGTAGCAAAAAACATTTCTCCGTATTAAAAAATTTTACTTACATAAAAGTCGCACACAGGTGTTGGCTCAAAAATGTGGTTGACAGAATTAGATTATCTCATTCCAGAAAAAATTGCAGCTATTTCCACACGACGGGGTAATAAGGGACACCAGGTAAAAAAATATATGAAACAACAAGGTATACCAAGTAAAAATCGCTGAAAATCTCATTTATTCTACATGTACATCATCTACAAAGGAAGAGGAAGTCTTCAGAGTACTGTTAGTAATGTATGAGCACACTTTGCATGTTTCAAACGTTTCAAAATTGAGTTTTATTTCAAGTGTCCCTTATTACCCCATTCTCAGGGTTAGTTCAGGAGGCTTTTATTTTGCATCTGACAACTTACAAAAAGCTTATGGAATTTTTGCCAAGTTGCCATACAATAGCCCTTGCAATTACCTTTCAAATGAGCCCAAACTCGTTTATGAAATGTTTAATGGTAAGTTATTAAGGAAAAACGCTCAAAACCGTCCATTATTACCCATTTTGACGGTATAATTGCCGGTTTGCACAGGTTTTTGTCTTATTTTATTTATTTAAGGTAGGAGGAATTATTATTAAGGAATTTTAGGGGTAGCTTCTGCCCAGTTTTCAAGTTTGGCTCTCACTCGCATTCTGAGTAGGGGAGTTTCTCCTGTATTCGCATTTATGGGAGGCCAGTAGATATATTTCACACCTGCCTGCAATAAAATGGATACAATTTTTATCCATAGCTTTACAAGTTGGCATGTACTATATATATCTATCATCTGAGCAACTATTAGAGCATTCTAAAAAAATTGGGCAGAAGACACCTATCAATGAGACAAAAATGACTGCTTGCACTCAATGTCACCCATTTCTGTGGCTCTTATCTAATTTATTCCATTATAAATATTCAAATTTGCCCAATTTTGCAAGCAACTTTTCGAAAATGCCCATAAATTAATAGCTCAAAAAATAAAAAATAATAGCTGAAAATTTCTGCTCAATATTACAAATTGCTATTAGAGCTTTTCTACCATTTTTGGAGCAGCAAAATTCTGAGTAGATGAATTTTCTATGATTTATTCTCATTTAATGTTTATGAGTAAATCCCAATAGCAGAACAATAAATATTAAGAGATTTCTAATAATTTTGGCCATTGTAGCGGCTAATATAGCGTGCTACAATTTACTGTAGCAGTAGTGGTAGCGCCCGTTACAATCTAGTGGATGTAGCGGTAGCGGTAGTGCCCACTACCTTTAGAGCAAGTAGCGGTAGCAGTGCTACATTTCAAAGTAGCGCTGCCCAGCTCTGTCTATATAATTGTAAACTAAAATTCATTATAAAGCTGTGAGATTTTAATTTTATTTAGAATATGCCACTTTGGAACCACAACATTTCAGCATTGAGTAGGATATTTATAATCTCAGTTGCATTTTATGATCCTAACAGCCTGTGCAGGCTAGTGAGGAAAATATTTACCCCCTGAACTGGGACTGGATTTTTTGAGCCGTTGTTTTATGGATTTGCAAGCCGTGATTCAATTTTTTGGAGCCGTGAATTCCGTATATTGGCCATCATCGACCATGAGGAGCCACAAGCCCTGAGCAGGTTTTACCCCCCAAATCTATAATTTTACCCTAAAAACAGCAACTTTAACATTTGTCTTTACTTTAGTGAGAACTTAATACCTGATGATGCAGTCAAACCGCTCTGATTTGACCAGGGCTGGCAAAGTCCTATTTTTTTCTAAAATATCATGGCTCTAAAATTGTATACATCAAATGGGATAATAAGGGATGGTTTTGAGTCAATAACATCTTACCATGAAACATTTCATAAACAAGTTTGGGCTCATTTTATAGCTCTTAGCAAGGGCTATCATATGGCATCTTCAAAAAATTTCACATTCTATTTGTAAGGTGCCAGGCACAAAATAAAAGCATTCTGAATTACCCCTGGGAACAGGGTAATCTGGGACACTTGAAATAAAATTTAATTTTAAACCACTTGAAGCATGCAGAGTGTACTCAATACTCATCTATTACTAACAGTAATTTGAAGTCCTCCTTTCCCTTTGTAGATGATGTAGATGTAGAATAAATGACATTTTCTGTGATTTTTACCGGTTTTTCTTTTATTGATATATTACCATATCCATACATTACCTTGTTGTCAGGGTACTGTCCCCACCACAGGCGAGGCAAACTTGTCACCTACCTTTTGAAGTTTCTTTGGCAACAACCCAGTAAGAATTGGAGAATGAAAGAATAACTCTAATTGAAGTAATTAGTTAAAACAGGATTTTACATTGCAAAACTTTTATTACAAAACCATGGTGGAAGACCCTGAGGTAAAATAGTTCAGGCTAACAATTAAGATTGAAGCAAGGGCATGAGTACCCACCACTTGCAAGGACCCATGTAAAGACAGTGTGTAATGAGGTACCCTGAGCAAGAGGTAAGCAGGGTATGTGAAGTAAAAATGAATTTAGAAGAATTCAGCTAGAGGGACCATCTACCCTAAAAATCAAAATTTTCAGCTTTTCCACTTTTTATGCTCATTTTAAAGCTTACTTTCTGTGGCATCAAGCGGTACTAGAACCATCTCTGTACGTTGATTTATGCGTGCTTGACAGATCCCGAAAGGGAGGAGGTGGGTGGAGTCCCTTAACAAAACTCTATGGGAATTAATTCCAGCCTGGCATTATAAATGTGCTCTCAGAGGACCTGCAGCTCAGTTACCTCCCAGCCATCTTGTGGAAAGGTGTTCATGCAATCATTCTATGCCCCTCGGACTGACTCAAGTGAGATAATGCTTAGCTCTGGCATCTAAGCTATGTTACATGCCTTTACATAGCGCGTGCGGCGCCTGTGAGCGTTTTTGGGCTCTCCTGTAAAATTTGAATTCTCGTTTTTTTTTGCCTAAGGAAATTCATAACTCCTCCTGTATCTAAGCTACAGCAATGAAAGACATACCATTCGATTTGTAATTAGAATATCTAGCAACTCTAGAAGCCCTTATTTCGGATTTGTGCATGCCTTGACATGTAGCATGTGATTTGCAAAAGTCATGAACTTTTTTATGGTATCCCCTATTTTGCCGTTTTCTATAAATTTCACGTTTTCTTTCATTTTTTCAAAAAATTCACATAAACAAAAAATTCTTAGAATTCTGTTTTACATATAT